GTTCAGAAACTGGCTGGTTCAAGGACAGGAGCTAGGGAGTCTATTGCGGTAAAAGAGCCAATATTCTGCAGACCTCACAGCAAGGACTTGAGTACCAAGTCCAGCAGAGCGGCAAGCCAGCCGTTTCGGAAAATAAATGCGTGGGGGGCAAGACCTTCTTATACCCAGACAACCACCTCTTAGAAAACGACTAAACTCAATCGATCAATTACACCGGAAAGATCCCCGGCCTTCCAATGCCTGAACTGCAGTATCCGCAGCAACCTGGAATTCTGGAATGCGGGTCGTGGCATGATCTTTGTATAGCCAATTGCCAAAGACTAGTTGCGTCAGATGGGATCTGCTCAGACCTTGAGCTCTGGCACTGAAAAACTACGTCGGAAACTTCGACTAAGAAGATAGTTTCTTTGACAATCTGATCTAATTATCGCTCGAGGTTAATGAGCGGAAGAATGACCCGCAACAAAGAGATGGAGGTCACGGATGACAAGGCCAGACCCAAAGATCGGCTGCCGATCGGCCACCAGAGCCGTGGTTGAGTCCGGCATGTCCTGCCTCTACTATCCGCGACCACCTCTGTACTGCTTCCTTCTTTGAGACTATGTTCCTGGGAACAGACCCCAGCCTGTATCCACGGCTCTGGAATTGCCGGCATAATTCAGAACATTGTCTACGCAGGTTCCTCGAAATCGCACTGACAGCAAAGGCAGGCCTCATTCAACAAGGACCTGTGGTATCGCTAGCCGCGCTTACTAGCGGGACAATCATGCAGGACCGGTCGACTGTATGCATGCAGGCCCTATTTTTGCGCTGCCAAACCTGAACATTGGGAGTAGATAGCGGATGATAATGGAGGCACGCCCCTGGGCCTCAGCTGACAAGCCCGCAATGCTTTCGAATCGCAACGCTGCAGACAGCGATTGTTGACGTTATACCATTCTCAGGCCGAGTCTGAAACTCCAGGGAAACTGCACAAGGTTATAATGCCGAGTCAGAAAACCAGGACCCCGCGTCAACAAAGTTGCGGATCGGGATTCCGGGGCCTCCCTTGCTCCAGCGTCTATGGTCTGCCGCCTTGCTGCACATCCCCCATCCCTACCGAAGGAGACCATGTAAGGTCCGATAGGTCCTCAGAGTCAGTGCGCTCGGACGTTCGAGCTTTGTTTACGCCTTTCTGCATTGGCATGCGCCGGGGCTCCCCCCTCGACCTAGCCACCATCCAGCAATGGGGCTGCCCTAGGCCAGGATAGGCATCACTGTTATTTTTGGGGAAGAGATGTATAAACATATCCCCTCCGCCCTTGACCCTTTCTTCGTTTCTGGCCATTCCCATTCCTTCGTTTGTACCTAGTCTCTCCTTTTGAACCTGTATGAACTGCATCCGTCCCTTTCATTTCTGATGAAGTTTCTGCGTGTCTGAATGCACCACATCAAATTCACACCGGCGTCATAATCATAGCCCATGGCTGACGGACATCATCGGCCTCCCGGCGAATCCAACGCCTTTCATAGCTGCCGGAACCGATCACAGACTGCAAGCATTCTGCCCACAGCTACGCCGCCTAGGAAGCGGGCATCATCATTCTATACTGTTAGAGGGCCAGAGATTGTTGACGAGTCGACACCTGATCCATTCTACCTGGAGCATACTCCAGGAGGCGCCTCTCCCTGGGGCAATCGTCGACCGGGTAGTCGCGATGTGAGAGGCAGTGAAGAAGGTAACCCGTATTCAATGATATCCTCGGTGTATTCCCAAGACATTCCCTTTGCTGTCACTGCACGCGGTGAATCTGCGAGATTGCGATCCAACAACAACCGATCTACCTTGTCTGTGGTCGAGCTAGAACATCAACTTGGTCTTCAGCAAGTTGCATCATCCCGTCCGTGGGGAACAGCCTCTCGGCATCACGACCACAGTTCGTTCAGCTCAGTGCAGACCGAAGCTACACCAGACTTGACACCAAGCAGCTCCTTCTCATCCAATTACTCTGCTCCCATCTATCCTGACAACTCCCTCCCCGCGGTAGAGTCTCTGCCAGTGCACGCCCCTCCCATCCCGCCCAGTCCTAGGCACAACGTATATCCTTACTCGTCCACTCCTTTGAGCCAGTCGCAAGTAACTTTGTGTACACAGCCCTCCACGCCTGTACGACAAGGACGACCGCATACAGCGACGCCTAACGCGTCGTCGGATACCCTGGTCATGCACCAAGGAGACAGTCACGATCCTCCCTCCCATCGTGGGAAGCCATTGCCATCTTTACCTAATGGAGCCCGGAATGGCATTGCCCATAGCGGCAGGAAGGGGCCCCCTCCACCAATCCGGCCTCCTATTGCTCCGTCAATGATCTCTCCCCCGTCTCGCATCAACCCCGTGACTATGGAGCCACACGCCACTCATTTTGAGAAAGCAATGTTCATATCTTCAAATGATTGTCCGAGTCCTGTACCTAGTCCCGGTCCAGGGTCGCCCTTGCTTGAACGCTATCCCACCGCCAGCTCAGCGCGTGATCGTCCATCCACCTCAGCGTCACGACCAGCTTACTGCGAACAGTCAGTCTGGGAATCCGACTCGGACACCGAGTCGGTCGATCCCAAGTCGCTGTCCAAGAAGCCAATGGACAAGTTGAAGAAGGTTCGCAGTCGAGTGCATCTAAGGGTAGCCAAGTCGGCACCAAAGCTTCAACCTCCGCAGACACCCAACAGTCAGCACAGCACTCATTTAGAGAAGTTTTCTTCAATGCCCGATCAGCCCCCAGAGGATCTCTGCCCGTCTCCCGCGCGGAAAACCGTCAAGGCGCGGTCACGAGAGGCTCTGCGGCCAGCGGCTGAGACCTTGCGACTGGTTGCCCCTTCTACGACTTCTCTAGTACCACCGCAGTCCAGACGCGGCAGCGGTCAAGCGCGCACCATTGACATTGACCGAACAACTGCAGCTGCGATGCAAGCGAAGTCACGACGCCGACCCCGGTCTGACTCGAAGAAGTCACTTTCTCCGGAGCGTGAAAAGGTGTGCACCCTCTGTCGCGAAGAGCGATCCGACAAGGCCATCCTATCCCTGGCACGACCTCCACTCTATAAACGGGTATGGGAGTCATTGCGTGTGCTGGGCTGTCATGGCGACATTACACCTCCTCGGTCCCGCAGACCCATGTAGTTATTCCCGATCCTTTTTATCTTCTCATTCCTGTTCGAAAACAAAAAGTCCTATGCGGCGTTAAATGATGTACGGCTATTTGCTACGATCTACCAAAAACCACCCTTACGGCCCTGTCCGACGATACTGAATGGATCGCCATGATTGATCTAATGTTTATGACGCTGAACGCAAGAACGACCCGCCAAAATCCCCTACCGGCGGATGATGACAATCCACATACATATGATGGATGCGCGGCACCATCCATGCCCATGTCCAATCAATGACCTGACGAGACGAATATCCCCTGAGATGGAAATCTCACCGGTAGTCTCGAAACGATGCAATGCAATGCGAACGCGCTGCGATGATTCATGTAACGATGAGGCAACGAACTGATTACGATAGTTGGACTCATGCCACTCTTTTTTCTCACTTACTTACTGATTTATGCTGATGCCTGTCTGTATTTGTGTCCATCATGACACCCATTTCCTTGTCTGTCTGTTCTATCTATCTATCTACTGTCACTCGTTCCTAACCACCCACACTCGCTCACTACCCACTATTGCTTGCAATTGCCCGCACGGGCGCGCCTTTCACTCACTCCATACTACATCAATTACTGAGCTCTTCTCATACTATACCATAAACATACATACCTTTTACAATAACAAAGAAAACCACATTCACCACACCCAATGAATACCACCATTCCTCACCGTAGCCATCCATTCATACCTCATGAATTGATCGACACCATGTCCTCTTTCCCAATACGAACAAACCAAAACAAGCGGAACCACAAAGGCCCAGATTCCTACCCTACTGGAAAGAATTCCCATCGGCATGTGTGGGGGTTTTTCCAGCGAGGGGGTTCCGAAGTGAAAACACGGGAACTAGTCTACTGTATTCAGTCCCTGGTTTATCCATTCATTCATCCCTTGGAGCGATGCGATGCGATGCGATGCGACGCGGCCGCGGGCTAGCTCGGGCTTACTAGGGATGTTCCGTTCCATCCCTTGAAGAAATGAGGGAGGATCTGGCTAACTACTGACTGAATTTTCATCTGTGACTCGCGTCATGAAACCGGTTTTCGGTGGACTCAATTTTTGTTAGTTTAGTATCCGTACTTTTGTGCAATTTTGGTGTCGAATGGTTGGTTGGTTGGTTGATTGGTTGGTTGATTGATTTGGGTCTTGTGCATTAAGGTTTTTGTCTATCGTATCTAGCTAGGAACTTTCTTTGTATAGATGGGATGGATAAGTGCGACTTGAAACACCACTCACTATTTCCGAACACCCTAACAAGACCATGTAGATAGATAGTATCTGTCTTCTGCTCGGCAAAACTACATACACCCAACGTAGTCATTCCACATCCAGCGTGATCTAACCACCGCCCAGCCATAGCTGCACAAAACGCCATGCAAAGTCCCCCCTCCGTACCTTGCAGCCACGTCCCGTCTCGACCATCCGGCCATTCTGTCCTGCCGTCCCGACAGCAAGCAGCAGGGGGAGGAGCTAGCCAGCCAGCCAACCAGCCAGGTAGCCATCCCGAGACCAGACCCCGACGTATGTATGCAGTGCTTCAAGACTGCATACAAGCCAAGACTGCCTGCCGGCAAACAAGCAAGCAAGCAGGGAAATTCCGGCTGCTGTGTCTCCTGGAAAAAGAATCCAGGCTAGGCTGACATGGCCCCGATCCTCTAGTTGAATCCCGACAGGCGCAAGGGCCCGCCAGGAAACAAAAATGAGAGGTGAGAGAAGGATAAAAAGTACCATCCACAATCACCCATTCAGCTCTCCTCCACATCTACCTCCTTCCCCTCATCAGCAGCAGCAGCAGCAGTAGTAGTAGTATCCTTCATCTCCAACGCATCCATATTCTCCTCCCACCTCGGCACCCTCACTCTCTCCTCCCACTTCCCTATCGCCCCCTCACCCTGTCTCCCCAATCTAATCTCAGCTTTCTCCCCCTCCGAAATCTCCCTCTCACTGATCCCCTCGAATACCTTTCGCACATCCAACTCCTTCACGGCCTGTTGGTACAACGCTAGTATCTCCGCACGCTTGGCTTGGCGTTCCTCGTCGGTAATTGTAGGAGTAGTAGTAGTAGTAGTAGTAGTAGAAGTGGCGGTGCCATTGGTGCTGGTAACACCCTTCCGACCACCCGCCGAAGGCAGCTTCTTCACCACGGCTTTCTGGCTCTCGTCGTACCCGCGTAGCACGCCCTCGAGAATACCGAGGATAGTACCGGCGCGCATGCCGAGTTGGGCGCCGATGGGAAAACCGGCGTCGAAGCCAGCTTGGACATGAGAGGTTTTGGAGGCGCTAATGCCGTCGCGGTAGCCGGCTGTGACGTGTTGGCGGCGGAGGGAGGGGAGGTCGGAGGGTTCTGTAGTGGTGGTGCTGCTGGAAGGGTGGGGATGGGAGTGGTGGGTTGTGGGTGGGGGAGAGGATCCGAAGATGTCGTCGAGAGTGGACATGTTGATTTGTTGGTTTATTGATTGTAGATGTATGGTTTGTGAATTGTTTGTATGTAGAATAAGGAGTGGTGATGGTGATGGTGGTGTTGGTGTTGGAGAAAAATTTGGGGCGGGGAAGTCCTGAGATGTGAGATGATCGGCTGGCGGGGTGGGTCGGGGTTGGTGGGGTTTAATCTTTATCTACTACAGCGATATCTAGAGGGCATGAGCTGGTCTGATAATTGCAATAGATTATAAAATGGAATATCGCTATGATTTGGGCTTATTGATATACTAATATCTGAAATATTAGGTAACTGTGTTCGTCTATGGTATATCCCCTCAGTTCATCCATCAGGATCGGACTAAATCCTTCAACACAATCCTAGCAATAATAGGCCAACTAGCGGAAACATAAGGTCATACGACCGAGTCCATTTTGGAGCCTAATTCTTGAATGAGTGATCTACAGTATTTATATTCGGTAGCTATCTACTAGTCAACCCAACTTTCTTTATCCCCATTGACTCTATATATATATATATATATATCCTGCACACAACCACTCCAATTTTTACCTATATTCCTCTTCTTCATTACTACTAGGAAACACCTTCAATAGACAAATACAATGCGCCCCTCAACCCGCCTCCTCATCCTCACTACACCCCCCATCATCCTAACCTACACCACCCACCGCTACCTCTCCATCCTCGAAGCCAAATATCCTCCCATCGACCCAACCACCACCACCAGCCTCGCTCTCCGCACTCCGAGCAACCCAACAACCCAACACTGTCCCGAAATTGACGTCTACGAGGCCAAACACATACCAGTGAAATCACTTCTAAAGCGATACTCTACTCTTCTCCAATCCAAGCACACCAATACCCATGACTCCACCACAACCAACAAAGCAACCCTAACCAACGCCTGGATCCTCACCTTCCTCAACACCAAACCCCTACTAGTCGAAAGCAGCCTCATCGGCTTAATCAAGAATAAGTCCTACAGCCCCGGGGATACGGGCGTCACAGACCCGGAGTTCATACCTACATCGATACCCACAGACACATCTACATATATTTCCACATTCAAATCGATCTTCATCACCCCCAAACCCCAAAATCCAGCCTACTACCCAATAGAACAAGAAAAAAGAAGCGACCGCTCCCTCCTCAACTCCGTGTTCACAATCCAACAAACCTCCCCCACAACAGGCCTCCTACTCTCATGGCACATGCCCGACGAACCGCGCCTCTTCTTCGAGAAAATCGCCCGATGGGGATACCCCTGGCGACTGATGAGCGGGGGGCGGCACGAGCTTAACATCTCAGAGGTATATATATACCAGGGAGAAGAAGTAGTCGATGTACGATTCGCCTCGGCACATGACTATCAAATCATAAGTGACGAAGAACAGAAACAGAAGATAATTCCTGCTTGGGTGGGGAGGTTGCATCGCGGGTATGCGAGGGCGTTGGTGGATTGGGCTGTGAGGGATTTAAATGATGCTTAACTGAGTTGGATGTGTGATCTCCCGCTCTGTATGTTATATACCATATTCATATTTAGTAATATCTAGTATATATATATATATATATAGATGCATCTCATCTCATATAATATCACCACAACATAACTGGCAATCATCTACTCTGACAGACTAAAGAGAAAGGGAGGTCAACAATCTCCCCCATGCTCCACAACCCCCCACCCCAACCACCCCCAATACTTGACACAAACCTCCCACCCATCGCGAATCACCTCTACCCTTCCAGTGCCATTCCCGCTGCTCCCACATACATCATACAGACATAAATCGTATGTCGTCGCCCCGGGACTTTTCCACGAGAACGTGTCCACCGCGGACACATTCACGCTGGAATCGAGGGTCTCGCATCCATCTGCTGTGCCTGACACGCCTTGCCGGTGGAAGAGGGATAGCTCGAAGCTGGTGGTGTTGGGGTCGCAGCCTGGTGAGAAGAGGCGGAGGTCCCACTGTATACCATTGTAGTGGGATGATGTTAGTGGAGGGGATATCACAATTTTGGGGGAAGGGAAGGGGGGCGAACGTTTTTGTAACGGAGGGTTTCTAAGGAGGAGGTGTATGCTGTTGGGAGGAAGAGGAGGGTGGTAGTGGTTAGAGTGGGGAGGAGGGTGAACTTCATTTTTGATACTAAGTAGTGATAATCACAGGAACTATTCAAAGGAAGTCAGAAGAAGTAATATGGGAGGAGGCTGGGCTGTCTATATTTATATCATACAGACAGACCCTGCAGATCAGGCACGCTAGTGCTTCACATTTCCGCCAATGCAGGGATCCGGACCAAAAGAGCGAACGAACGAACCATGGGCTCGCTTACCCTCGCACAAAGTGTCATCTGGATACTCTCAACGCATCCGTCTGATTCTTCATTCATGTCTAGACTCTTGAAGGTTTTATGCTATATTTAAAATACATCGTGGAAACGGACTGGCTAGTGTCTGCCCGGGGTTAATCTCCACGCCCGGAGTGGCAGACCCTGCAGTTTCAAAACAGCCGGCCGGATGAAGAAGAAAAATGTCACTACGCCAATCAACACACACAGGATGTTCGTCGTGTAGTATCCGTCGTGTTGGACGTGGCAGGTGCCTCCTCCGTTGACGCAGCGCGTCCGGTCTGGCTCTAGTGCACATGAGAAGGCCTCCGTGACGAGGTCACCTTTCAGTGTCTCGGACGGAGGTGGCACCGTTGGTGGAACACAGGTTGCCTCGGTGAACATGTCCACTAGCTTGAGGATGAAGTATCGAGGGAATGTACCGCCCAGGTTGGAGACACTGTTAGATGATTAGTAAAGGTCACTTGTAGGGTAGAGAAGTACGACTTACGTTGCGAGCATTGTCATGTAGGTACCGCCAATGCTTGGGTCGGCGATGCGCGCATGGAATGCACTCACCGCCACAAACATCACCGTGTTCATGAATGTCGAAAACACATGCTCTCCAATCACGGTCAGTAGGTACCAGAACGGGACCTGCTCAGCCGACGGGAAGATCATCACCGTGATCTGGGCCAGGACGGCTGCCGCCAGTCGTCCGATGAACGCCCAGCACCACAGCCGCATGGGCGTGTACTCCGTCGACCACTTGCCAGCGTAGTATCCCAGCCCGATTTCAAAAGGAAAGTCTATCAACACCACTAGCGCCATGTTGTCTTGGCCGAATCCCTTGTCCAACAGCTTCAGACTTGTTACGCCGTCGTTGGCTTGGAAACCAATCTTGGCGATCAGATGGACCAGGATGATGGTGTGAATGTTCTTAAGCTTCAGCACATTCCACATACTGCGGTACACGTCCATGATGCTATCGCGTTCATGTGTCCGGTCTTCCTTCTTCATGACGGCCAGACAAGTCGTAACAACTAGATAAGCCCAGCCCCAGAACTTCAGGTACGTGCCCAGCGACAGCAATCCACCTTCCGCAGGAACGGCCCGGAACCAGCGGTTTGCAAAGTCGGCCGAGTTGAAGGCCAAAAACACAGTGTAGGACAGGAAGTGGCCGGCTGTCAATCCCACCGTCTGGGCAGTCGATGCGTAGGAGATATTCGGTGGCGACATGAGGGTAATTGCCCATCCATCGACCGCAATATCTTGCGTAGCGCAGAAGAACACCAGCAAAAACCACCAGTATGTAAAGTTCCAGACGCCAGCACCACCATTGGCGCCCGCCTGCTGCATCATCTCTTCAATGCGTCCGCCGAGATAGATCATGGCCAATCCGGCGATGACCTGGATGGGTGTGATCCAACTCTTGCGCCTGCCGAACCGCCGGCTCCAGATGGCATCAACGATAGGGCTCCAAAGCAGCTTCAACGAGTAGGGGTAGGATGCGAGTGAGAAGACACCGATTTGACCGTACGACAGGTACGGCTTCAGTAGGAAAGGGACGGATCCGGTGGCCAGCCCCATGGGGATACCCTGGAGGAAGTATAGCACACACAGCAGCAAAAAGTTTCTCCGGTCGCTGGCGGGCAGATTCGCGAAAGAGGTCGTCGTCATGGCGGGCGTTTGCGGGGTCATTGGAGGATCTTGGTCTAGAGTGAAACTAGGACGTGACATGAGGCGATTCGCCCGAGCGGACGTAGACTCGACAGAGGTGTCCCTCTTTCGCATCTCGATGGAGGAATCCATACTGTCGCTCGCGTAGCCGTTCTGGCCCGTCGCTATGGTCAAGGAGGGCTTGGAGCGGCGTTTCAAGACCGTGCGGCCTTTGCGCTTCATGGGTGATCTGCCACGATGGGAGGGAGCGTGCGGGTGTCGTGAGTGTAGAGAGTGACTGGGGGAATCCGGATCAGAGTCGTCGGGTTCAGATGGTGAAGGCGAGAGAACGGCGGAGTGTTCGGGCGATAGTCAGAGAGGTGGTCTGTGTAATGTAAAGGATGGTGGTGTTCACGCGTGTCGGTGCTGCATGCTAGAGACTGGAGTTCCACCTCCTGAGGACGATCCGCTGCGGAATGACGATGTTCGTGGGAAGAGTAGGGATCCGCAGGGTCATGGAGGGAGGAAGAAGCGGAGAAAGGGGAAGACGGGAAGAGGGAGACGAAGGAAGGACTGGAACAGGCCGGGATGAGGCATCCATTCGACGTGGTGGAGAGAGGCGAGTGAACTTTGAGGCAAGCTGGCCTCAAGCGTCAAGCTTGTTTGTCCACAGCTGCTTGGCTGGAACCGGCGATGGCTCCCTTGTGATTGGCTGTGGTCAGCCGTCATTATTAATGTTGCGCATTAAGGGCCTGGCGATCCCCTCCATGCGTGGATTCTTCAGATGCTGATGGAATTACTTAGTACCTTAGTAAAGAACTCGTGCTGGGGTAATCCTGTGTGACAACAGAGCCTCCAATTATGACGACTCATCGCTACAACTTATTATCCTCTCCACCACAAGGTTCAATACTTATATATTACAGTAACAATAACAACTCTATTCAACATACACCTCAATAGCCTATTCAGGGATAAACATTCAAGTCTCCTCCCTCCCCCCAAAAAGCAAGGACTAAGCAAGTAGCCAGCCGACCCAGCACGGTGGATCACAGACCAGGATACAATTTCATCCGCCAATCGAACTGCAACCTTGAAAGGAGCCGCGGGACCGGGACCCCCCTCACGTGATGCAGCTCCTGTCAACAAACACCGCCTATCACCATCACCAAACATAGTAGTCGTATCTATCTCCGCCCGAGCTCCATCACTAAACCCTCCACCACCCAAACTACAAACAACATCCCCTATACTAACAAAATGGACACCGACGACCTCGACTCCGAAATCTCCTCCATCCGCGCAGAAAGTCCGTCCCCTAGTCCCCCACCCCCAAACAACCAACTAACCCGATCACTAGTCCGCACCCTCCAACACCGCCGTCGCATCCTAACAAGCAGTCTCCTCTCCTCGCGCGCACTGCAACGCCTCTCCAAATCCCAACCACCAACCCTCACCTCCCAACAACAACCACATCAACAATGGACCGACATCTCCCCCCTAATCCAAAGCACCTCGACGCACGCGCAAACAAACCACCACCGCATCGCCTTCTCCACAACCACCTTCCCCTTCACTGACCCCTCACCCACATCCGAATATCCCAACCTCCTCGGCATCCGAATAGACATTTGCGCGCGCGACGGAACATACACGAAACCATACTACATTCTCCTCCGACGGTTATCCCCCAAGACACCCCAAGAAGGAGGGAAGAGAGAAGTGCGCGTACATAAACATACCGTTCCGGCGGTGGTGGATATGAGGAAATTAGAGAGGGTGTTTTTACCGGCTTCAACCGCTCTGAATACTTCCCAGGATGGGGAAGACGCGATGATGGACGAGGATCAGGAACAGGAGCGACAGCTCAAACCATGGAAACATGAGACGCGCAAACAGGATCTCAAGTCCTTTGTACGGGAAGTGCGCAAGCAGCTAGTCGTGTGGCATCTACGGTGTGATGCGGTGCGCTATCTGCGAGAAAGATTGGGTGTTGTGAGACGCGGGGTGAATGATGATGATGCTATCTATGAGGATGATGAGAGGCCGTGGGAAAGGGATATTCTTGGACCTAATGCTTCTACGACGGCTGCGACGGGGGGTAGTGGTGCTGGGGAGGAAACGCGCATAGCGAAGAATGAGTTGGGGATTGTCTCGTTGGCGCCGACGGCGTTGGAGGCGGTTTATGTGCGGATGGAGTGGGAGGATGGGCGCGTGGGGAGATTCAAGATTTCTAATACGGGTGTGGTGGAACGGGCGGTCGTGATTGGGGATAGTGGGAGAGATAAGCAGACTGAGGGGGTTATTACGGGCGGGGATGGGAGGGTTGAGACGTTGTTGGAGAGGTTGGGGAAGAGTCGTGGAAGTGGCAGGGAGGTTGGATCTGCTTCGCCGGTTTCTGATGTGTGATCGATTAACTGGTTGGTGCGATTTCGTGTGTTTATTGGCGTTTACTGGGTGCATGACTAGCGAGCTGTGCTTTCAGATACTCCCGATTTCGTTAGAATTTATCCTTTCATATTTGGACTGACTGTCCTATCAAAAACATAAAGCAAGGTCTATTATAGAGAGGAATATCCACTATCAACGCTATGCACATGAATGAACCTGTATAGAAGCGGCTGTCGTATATGATGCTGGATGCTCGCTCCTGAACGACACCAGGCAGCGACAGAAGAAGTGTAACGAAAGGCCAAGGAGTGACAAGAAAGTAATTAATTACAAAAAAATGTAGAAAGTGTAGTGAGTATGAGACATTAGTGTAGTAGTATATAGGAACTGCATATATGCATGATGAGACCGAGGGAAAAAGGAAAGGGTATCACTTAGGCATCACATCGTAATCAAAGCACCTGTCCCCCTCTCTTGTGGTGCACCGGTCCCTCATCACCGCTGGCAGATCCTGTCTGGTCGGTCACGCAAATGGCCGAGTCGCGCGTTTCATAATGCGAGTCGCTGAACGACAAAGGGGGCAGCGGCCCGTACGGCTGCCCGTGTTGCACTTCCAGTTTCTTTCGCAAGATGGCTTCTTCCAGGGTCCAGCGGTGTCGTAACCTCGACTTTTTGGCGTCAAATGCTTGTAACATGTCTGCTTCTTCCTGCTGATGCTTCTGCTGCATCCGCGCAAACTCCAAGGCATGCTTGTCAATCAGATCATCCAGCTCTCTTTCCATTCGCGCGATGGCTTCCTGGAGTCGCAGTTCTTGGCGGTCGCGCAACACCTTGATCTTGGCTTGATGCAGTTGGTCCATGGTGTTGTGGTCGTGGTACTCTTGTGCCAACTGAGCTTTGTGTTGCGCGGTGAACTTGCGACTCGGCACTGGGTCTGCTTTCGATCCGGATACGGGCGATGGCGGCGGGCTCGAGTTGTTAAAGAACCCTTCCATGTATTTGATGCGCGTGCGCGAATTCAGTTTCGCGCGTTCGAATTCTCGCATTTGTTCCATTTCCACTGTAAGCTGTCGTTCCTCCATGCGGATGGCATCGGCCGTGTTCTGCAAAGGTCAGTAACTATGATACAGCCATTAGTAATAGTGACGAACCTTCTCGCGCTTCTTTTCCTCCGTGCGCTTGTTCTCTGCAAGCTGGTCCGTAACGATAGACTGCTGTCTCCGTCGCAGTTGTGTCATGAATGCATCCTGAAAAGCAGTATGCCGATTCATCTCCGCTATGTGGGACTCGCGCATCTGGCATAATTGTGTATCATCCAAGCTTCGCTGCATCGATTCATTGTCGAAGACAGGAATCTCCAGCCTGAGAACCTGTTTATCTTCCTCGGCGGAATCGTTATTTTGTGCTTCCGACGGTTTCGACTCGATATATACTCGGTCGACGCCTTTTTCGCCTTTAGCGACGGTGATCTGCGTGGCGGGCGGGAGGAGGACGGGGGATGGCGATCGCTTCTTCCTAAAATGGATCTTCCCGATTGCCGACTTGAGCGTTGATTTTCTTCTTTCCCTTTTATCCGCGGAGGTCATGCTAAACATTGATGCACGGTTCCCGGGTGGCCTAGCGGCTAGGCTATCTATCCCCGGCGCCAACCTTCCCTCAAAAGAGCTATAAGATGTCGGCCGAGTAGACATGGACGCGAATGACCGAGTGCTGCCAGCCTGGACAGGCTCGGAAGCGACGGTAAAATCGGAGAGGGACGAGGCAAGTTGATCGATATGCGGCGGGGTCTCGAGGGACGGAATGGCTTCGTAGGTTGAGTTGCGATCGGTCGAGGAGCCGGAGGATGTTATGGGAGATGACAAGTCCACCATACCGGAGGCAATGGATGCAGCCAGAGATGCCGCCACCTCGACTTCCGGCACCTTTAGCCCCAGTTGACGTGCATCCTCCACCAATTTTCGTTGTCGCGCCGTTTCTGATTCCTCGGAAGGTAGAAGAAGAACTTCAGTGCGGTACCGAGACTCGTCGAGCTCGGTGAAATATATCGGCTCCATGATGCAATTGGCGATGGGCGGGATCGTTAATCACACATGGAGCACGTATCCCGGCAAAAAAAAATTGACACTAATAACAATAACGCCGATAGGCAAGTTCGAAAATGCAGAAAATGGGCAGTACGAAATGATAAAGTAGAAAAAGAAAAGGGGTTCAAGTATCAACGACGCGAATCGCGAGACGCTAGAAGGCTCGTCCACAGTACTAGAAGCACGGTGGACGAGATGGAGGCGCTCAAGAGCAGCATCCGACTTGCGGGGAGGGGCGAACTCTGAAAGGAGACGGGATGGGAGAAGGAGAGGGAAAGGAGAGCGACTCGTCGACTGAGGACGGAGGAGTCCAAAGAGAGGGAATGAGCTAATGAGAGAGAGGATTACTCTGCGGCGGGCCAACAGCGAGCAGCAGAGGCAATGCGACAACCTGATTTGGGCCTCAAGTTCGTTATTGTTATTATTGCGACCCACGGCCCGCCTGACCGATTCTTCCTCATTAAACGTCGGCGGAGGCCCAGTGGTAATCTGCTGCATCCACTATGGGGGGTGGGCTGGTGGTGTGCTTTAGTGTGTATGGGGGATCGTTGCAGAATCAGCACGTTGATTATCGCGGCGTTTTTTTTTTTTTCTTTTACTCAGAAGGTAACTATTTAACCATATCCCCTGTCACCAGAACAGAGAAAAAGGGGGGAAAAAGAAAGGCAAAATAAGTGATAATAGTTATTGTTGAATCTGATACAAAGTGACCAACCAGGCTGTCAGCCATGTTACCCTCAACCTCGGGACTGACTCAGGCACCAGGGCGTGGATACGTTACCCGCGTAATCCTCGTACCTCCTTCCCCATTTTGCCTGGCAAACCGCGGCCGTCACTTCTGAAACAACCCCCCCTCAATCGGGTCATGATGTAGGGTATAGGGTAGGGCCACTGAATGTCAGCCGCCCACCACAGTGACCACACAGCGTCAACCGCGGTTTCAGTCACTGCAACACCATGGCTTAGGGTCAGGAACCGCCGCTTCAGGATCCCACGCGGTCTGTTATAAGGATTGGCATGGCGGCCCACTGTTCCTGAGTTTTTGTTTTTCCAGACCCTTCTCTTCATCACGCTTTTTTCCTGCTCGTCCAGTAACATGCTGATCAATTGAAACCGATGGGGACCGGTAGTTGCTGGGTCGCTTCCTAGTGCCAGACTAGGCAGGAGGGGTGGTGATGGTGGTCTGATGTTTCCATGGATGGCTTGAGTCTTAACCATCCTGATAATTGACCATCTTCACCGCTTTTTACCTCACGCTACACCTTAAGAAAGCGACCGTTGCGATACCGAAAATCACGTTTTGTGTAGATATGTGTCTATGATACATCTCTTGAGACAATACATCTACCTCGACAACATGGCTGCCGCCATGGCATATGTCTTCTCTCTTGCATCCTCCTGCACCGTTCCCGGGCGAGCAGATTTATCCCAGCCGTGATTGCAGCTCTGCATCCGCTGCCGCACCACCTCCTTCCCCGGTTCCTTGGCAATTTTCTCCGCCAGCGCCTCCGCCTCAGGCGCCAAGTTGTCGCAGGCCGCACTGACAATCATCACCCGCGCAGGGAAGCGGTCGGCACTAGCATAGAGCGGCGAGATTCTCGGGTCACGGGTATCATATGCACCATGCGTGTAACACCTGTCAAAAATCTTCGACATGACTGCGGGAATTGCTCTGCCTGAAGTATCCGGTGCGGTCTTCAACGCCGGATCCGTATGCAGGTCCACCACGGGATAGACCGCCACAACGGAGTGGAAGGTGTCTGGCGAGAACAGGTTGGCCGCAGCAGCCAGGGAGAGGTTACCGCCCGCACTGAACCCCGACAAAGAGACACGGCTAAGATCGAATTTCTCGGGCTGTCCCAGAACCCACTTGGCCACATCCTCGGCATCGTTGAGAGCTGCGGGGAAGGGATTCTCGGGTGCTAGGCGGTATTGGACATCGAGGACTGTCCGGTCGGTTTCGCGACTCATCTGGCGACAGAATGCATCGTCGGCTCCATGACGAGGGAGCATGAACCCACTGCCGTGGAAGTTGATCAACACGGGGGTCGGCCCTGTAGATGCAGTTGCATTTCGGTAGACGTGGGCTTTGATAGTCCGTCCTGAATCGCGTGACGGAATCTGATAGACGTCATCTGGCGTAGCTTGCGTGTTTCTCTCGGGGGCGATGAACCGCCTGATCACGAACGCAAGAAATTTGTAGTAAAGGTAAAAGATGGAGAACATTGCGGGGTTGTTTGCCGTTTGCCGAGGAAGACAAAACAGGCACGAAAGGTGAGCTTAGCCAAAAAGCAATTGCAGCACTGCTGTAAGTACTAAGTAGATGCTCAGGAGGAGACAGGGCATGAATACGTAGGAAAGTCGCTCCAATTTAATTTCCCTTCTTATCTCGCTCACTCCACCCGAGGATGACGAAATATTCGCGTGGCTATCGCGAGCACCATTTTTGGTCGGTTCCACTGACGGGCCACGATTCCACTAAACACCCATTCCACCAAAAGCTTGGTGCACGACGCGATGCTTTTATGTGTTTCGAGTACCGCTCGGAGAATTTCGCCCAACACCGATCACAAGACTCAACACCTATATAGTAGGACACGCAGACTATCTGCTCTTTGAACTTGTCCTGTGTAACTCGAGGTTTTCCGCGATGTTCCGAACATCCTGGGAGCCGAGGTGCAGGGATTATATTTGTTGTCGTGACTTCTGCCAGGCAGGTAGCAGGAAATGATGCGCTTGTCTGAGACTGGACTCGGACATCCATTTCTAGTAGTCTGAGACATATCCAAAGTTTAAGCATCACTCCACCGATTTGGAATGAAACACGATTTGAGATACTGCTTCATACTTCGGTCATACCTCGGCTAACCCCTGTTCAGTAAATGGAAATGTGGATCGTAGCTAAAACTTATGCTAGTATTGATCACTTTAGAGTTACCCAATCCTGTATGAAGATAATCTGGTGGATGATCCTTTGAAAGAAGGGTATAGTACTAAAATAACGTGACTTTTTTCAGAGGGGACGGTATATCAAGCAGATGAGATTGCAGAGTGGAATAGAGAGAGGAGGTGGTGTCGAACAGTAAGATCGGACTTATCTGAGCTGGTACTGATGCTGTTATAAGGCAACTGAGGGAGGTCACATAATTAGTCACGCGTTAACTGGATACTAAAAACTAGTGCAACAATGCACAGGGTAGCAGGAAACCCGTTTACAGCGGGCAGAAGTTCAGCAGCAGCAGCAGCAGCAGCAGCAGCAGCAGAGAGAGAGAGAGAGAGACACGGTTGGTTCAGTGGGGGCTCGTTAGTTGCTATACTGTATGTTAGACACTTCATTGGCTGTGTAATGGAATATATGATTTCTTCAGAAATGATTTGCTCAAGGCCGATCTTCGTGTAAAGGCTATGTTATCATCTACACAATAGTCATATGCTTTCAGTTTTGGTTCGACAATGTGACGTAACGATAATCTATTATTTCTAGTGCCTTCTAAATACATCATTAGTAGATCCAGCGCCATGGGTCATCAATAATGGTGAACGCTCGACCAAGATTAAAACTGAAATTGAAGCAACAGACGTTCACAGCCCGAGCAGGCAGACTCAAGACGGCAACGCCGGGACAGGGACAGAGACCCAACCCCCTTCGCCAGTCTCTTCCCGACGAGAAAGAACCTGTAGGTCCCATCTGCCGCAGAATCCATCGTAATTAGCAATCCGTGTCACTTGCGAAAAGGATCCGCCTTCTTTCGAATTATCCCCTCCCCAGACCGTCTCTTGCACTTCTTCGCCGGGAACCTCTGCTCGACGCGGATTATAAACCGGAAGACCAACCGCAGTGCTGGAAAGCCAATGGGCGACAGAATAAAGTCTCTCCACCCGACGAGTAATCTTGAGCCAGCTGAAAGAGCGAGGGTGGTAGGCCACGCGAATGAAGGGGTTCATGTAGATGCCTGAATCTACCTCGCCATCCCTCTCAGCCTGGGCCGCATCTATGGAGGATGAAGAGGGCCAGCTTTGAATATCCGCGTGTATCAAACAACATTCAGACGATTCCCAGAACATATCCTCCTCACCGCGAAATTGCACAGGCACGCGACGTCCGCGGTAATATGTTGGCTGATCCGTATCTGTTGCTGCTGGGATGCCGCGCTGGAAGAACCCAGCATCGAAGGCAACCATTCCTCCCCAGCAACTACGCACCCTGACTGCATCGGTTCCCTGCAGTACATCCGAGCGACTCTGGGCTTTACCCGCAGTGGTGAACCATGGAAAGAATGGCAGTCCCATGCCGTAGCCCTCAAGGTCGCGCGTGGCAAAGGTATCGTAGAACTTGAACGGGTTGATAAAGTCGACCGCACATGCGGCTCGATAGTCCGGGCGGCCGTCGCGGGTATGTGTCGAGAAAAGAAGCTGCAGGGCATCCAGGGGATTGAAGTAGACGTCGTTCAAGAAGAGGAGGCGGTCGAACCGGTGGTTTAGATCATCCAAGGGAAGCAAGGCCCGGTTGCGGACCTCTGCCAGGTAGGCCACACGGCGCACGTGGCTGGATCCATCGGGTAGCGTAACGGTGGGAAAGCCCGTGAAATTAAAATGTTTGTCGTAAACAATGGATTTGTTACAAGGGACTCGATCGCTCAGCGCCGACAATGCCTGCTCGCCAGTTGCATCGCTGTCATTCTCATAGATGCTCAGGAAGACACGGTCCGGCCCGATCATGTCGATCAGATCTAGAAGACTCTGGCCCCACGCGCCGCGCGCCAGAGCCCCAGTCTTGTCATAGAGGCTGACCGCGATGAAAACGGTAGAGTTATGTGGATTTCCCCGGCCTGGGGTTGTGGAGCCTTGGACGGCTGATTGCAAGTCACGGTAGTGAGGAGGCAAGTGAGTATAGGACGGGAATAATGCAAAGGTTGTAACAATTAGGCCAACCAGGATGCAGAACAAAAGGGAAACAACCCTACGGACTGTGAAGGTATCACGAGAATAACGTCGTCGTATGCGCCATTTCGCTGCTCGGGATGTCTGGAACAGAGTGGCTAAGAGACGTCCGACGCGGGAGACTCGAGTACGAGTGGGATACCCATCTATCGAATCGTCCCTCGCCAGTTCAATCTCTTCGGCCTCGTCGAACGAAGTGCGAGCGACGGGCTCGTACCAGGCCCTTGTAAAACGTCCCATGATGAAGCCGGCCACGACAGTGTCGAAGGTTACTCGAGCGGGAGATCTGACAGGGGAATTTGGAAGTCGGAGCCTACCTCATATTTCTTTGGGCGCTTACCTTTGGGCTTACTGTGCAGAACAAACACTTTGCCTTTTCAATATTAGATTCATGTGATTGCCGATCGCTGCATGATACTTGGTCATCTTAAGCTACATGATTTAGTTACTAAGGAATAGTGCTTCTTTCTACCAGTAATCTATAATAAGCAAAAGTACTCACCAACTAGGATTAGTACCGCTGCTAGTATAGTTACTACTGCAGCCGCTAGGGTAAGGCTGAGGCCATAGGCAACGCTATTTTGCGTAATACAGTAATGCTAATAAGAAAACTATAACCCCAGCCGTGGCTATGTTAATGGGGCAGTTCTGTAGTATTTAAGCATGGAAAATATAAGAACAAGGTGGCTGGTGATTTCCTTTGACATTGTAGCACTACCTACTCAGACATTATACCAAGGAGACAGCCTAAAGGCAGCAAAGGCTGTGTGGCCTGATTAGTGATGGATGTAGCCTAAACTAATTATGCTACTAAACGCTGAGAGATTGAAGTGGATCTCTCAACGTGAACGCTGTTAACGTAGGATCGCCTGAGGCGTCCTGGCGTTCGCCGGGAAAGACCCGTCATTTTGCTGTGGGTCTGAACCTTGATTACCCGACAATCGTCCGGCGTGTCTCGTGCGACCACACATTTAATCTGACCAGACCTTTTCTCAACTCTTGGAAAAGCTTAAGCTGACGTGATCTGACCATCAATCTTGATGGCTCTAGCAGCTGTTAGCCTCAAGGCGCACACTGGCCAAATTTGTCTGTAGCACATTAAAGCATCTCAGGAACACACAAGGTACTAGTCGTAACTAAACTCGTCGAGAATGCAGTGATCTCAGCTGTGACATTCTAAAGTGCACTAGCCACTAGGTAGTTAGTACGGAGTATGTCTTACCAGGGCTCTAGTACCTATACTATTCAAAATTTATGGTTAGCGTTGGTGTCATGGCCGCCAGCTTGAGATTGATCCAGACAACCCTTTGCGAATACGAATAGCCACATTCACACAGTCTAGTTCTCAGGTGGTGGTTAGTAGGCTAGATGGTCTAGGGTCTCGAATTCTCAAGCGAAGAATTTTTTTGCTAGCAGCTCATACAACCAGTGGTGCTTATAGTAGGCCTCCGTCCCCAGAAGATCCCTTCGCGAAATGGGCTGCCTTATCTTGCTTCGACCCAATCCTCCTGTATGTATCTGCGTATATATTCTCCCTGGCAAGATACTCGATGACCGGTCGCTAACTAATCCACTTTATGCTGGAAAAAAGGTGACTCTCTAGAGTTTTTAACAGTCGTCATGCTCGGATAAAAGCGGAGTGTAGCCAGACGCAGTCTTCGCTATCATATAGAGGTGGTTTGTGTCGATTACATCCTATATTCCGGAGGTTTTTTCCCAGTTAATGGCATCTCAAGTAACGGCAATCTGTTCACTGGAGGGCTAAGTGGGCTCTTCTACTTGGCTCCCATCAGCCCGGAAAAGATGACTGAAGAGGCTCGTGCTGTCACTGCCTTCTACCATGGTTTGTCATATGCAGACGAGCTCAGCGTTTGCGACCAGGGAGGACAATGGGCCCATCTTTCAAATCTAGCTGGCCCAATACTTGCAGCAGAAAAATTGTTAAGCGGACCTCGCCCGGAGATCTTTGATCGTGTACTGTTCAGTTACCATTGCTGCACAATAGACCCTAAAACCCCACCTTTCTCGTCCAATTACTCCATATCTACCTTGTTCCTCGCTAGGCTATACGACTCAACTCTTGCATCATTTCTTGACTGTATCAAAGCTCTAGACCCGATTTCCATCTTTGGGACCCGTGCTGCTGCCTGGGGAACTTTTTTCCCGCTGGTGACTATACGCCCATCACTCGAATCTTTCACATCCACGACCTCTGATGAACTTATCGGTTCAGGGCATGTGCTCTACGCTTACGTCTAATTACTGCTATAGGAACAAATAGCATT